TTGCAAAAGCTTAAAAACTCGTCCAATTTAAAGTCAGTTGTAATAGAATCAATATGTCTGCAGTTTCTCAGTTGATTTTTAGAACAGAACACGCACAAAACCAATAATGATACAATTAAACCAATAATGATACAATTAAACCAATAATGGTTTAATTGGTTCTATTTATTTTTTTATCCCTTTATTTGTAAAAGTTCAGATAGAAATGATGGCGGTTTTACCTGAGCGCCTTCGCCGTGACCTTGGTGCCGGTGAGGTTCAGTGAGACGAGCGTGTTTGCATCAGACAACTGAGAGAGGAGTCTCAGCGAGCCCTCCAGGTCGGCCTCAGTAAAAGGCTGATTGGTGATGTCGAGCTGCCGGAGCGTAGGACCCCACTTCTCTATCAGCAGGTGGAGGTTGTCCTTGATTCCATAGGGGTTGGTGAAATACACGCCCCAGAAAAGGCACTCAAGCTCTGAATCAAACACAAAAACCAGCAGAACGGATCAGCAAAACTCTCCGAGTCACAAACCCCGAGTCAAAATCAATAACCTGCATAAAGAGTCTTTTTATTTTTTGCCAGCGGGACATTTTCTCAACCGAAATAGAAGGATTTATTTAAGCTTAACTGTAGAAAATGAAACTTTTATCTAAACTGTTGTGAAGTTTTACTCTCCTATGTAGGAATTTATAAAATTAACCAAAATGAAAAAGTATCTGGTTACGGAGTTAAATAAGTCACGAGACATAATGTAGAAATATAATCTAAATGTATTTATTATATAGGGTCTTCAATAATAGAGCTGCAATTAACGGTTACTTTGCAAATCAATTAATCTTTCGATTCTTTTTTTGATCAATCGATTAATAATCGGAGAGACAAAGGTTCCTTAAAGAAGACTTTTTTTTTTACAAAATCAAACGAGGTGAAACTAAAACGTTTTAAATTAAGCTCTGGATTATAGAGCAGATTGACAGATGAAAAAATGTTTTTTATGCTACCATCCAAAAGTTTGGGGTCACATTGAAATGTCCTTATTTTTGAATGAAAAGCACTGTACTTTTCAATGAAGATAACTTTAAACTAGTCTTAACTTAAAAAAAAAAAAAAAAAAAAAAAAACTCTATACATTGCTAATGTGGTGAATGACTATTCTAGCTGCAAATGTCTGGTTTTTGGTGCAATATCTACATACCGGTAGGTGTATAGAGGCCCATTTCCAGCAACTATCACTCCAGTGTTCTAATGGTACAATGTGTTTGCTCATTGGCTCAGAAGGCTAATTGATGATTAGAAAACCCTTGTGCAATCATGTTCACACATCTGAAAACTTTAGCTCGTTACAGAAGCTACAAAACTGAATACACCCATATGATGAATAATCTCAAGTGAATTAATTTTATTTTTTTTTGTCCTCTCTCTCTTCCTCTTTCTCTCTTTTTTCAGGAAAATC